CCTCCTTTTCGACCACGCCTTCGGCGTCGCCGTTGCATGGACAATTGTTGCTCGCGAACAACTCTGTAAACGCATTGCCCCCTTTCACGCAACTGCGCGAGAGTGCGTTCTTTATGCATGCGCAATCCCTAATGCCTCGATCCCTCTTTCCACACCGCGTTGAAGGATTCCAGAAGCCGTCAGCCCCGCATTTCTCTCTCGCCATACCACTAATTCCGAAGCCTCTTTGTCGGCCTGTTAATCGCGTTTGCGCCTCCAAGCGCGCGCTCCTTTGGTCAACACACTCCGACAAAAAAACGGGACAGGAAGGGCGTGGGGCCGCAGCTGGCTCTTCGTCCCCTAGCCCAAGTGGCTTCGGATGGCTTCCCACCCGGATCGTCGCCTTCAGCACGAGCGGCTTGCACAGGCTTCGGCAAGGCCTGCGGGGCAGCTAGCCTTGCGCCCCGTTTCGCGCTTCTCCCGGGTTCCTGCTGGGGGCTTGCATTCTCGTGCCACACTTCGCGACCCCGTGTTCCAACTATCTGGCTCCCCCGGCTTTCCCTGTTTAGGGATGCGGACCGCGCGTCGAGCTGCTGGAAAAAAAGAATGCTCGGGGTAGGCTCTTCTCGTTCCTAACTGTTCCTCCGCTTTGCGCGCGCACCTAAGCGTTAGCAGCAGCCCTCCAGCGGTGAATGTTTACGCGAGGCCGCTAATTGTCTTTGCGTTCCGGCCCGCGTGGCACCACCTAGGCGCGTAGCGCATCCCTGGCGTGCCTTTCTCCCAAAAAACTTACTCACGTGACCCGCGCTTCTCCCTCTTTCCCGGCTCTATGTGTTCCCCCCCCCCCCCCCCGCTCCTGCGGCCATCGCTTTTTCCCGGTGCTCGCTGGATGTTCTGTCATGCGTGCACCAGGAGCCGCTTTATTCGCTGGCCACTTAACGTCGCAAGCGTTCGTCGCCGTATTAATGCGAGCCCCGCTAGAGGGCCGCTATACGACGCCTGGCGAGCTTTCCCTCTTTTTTCCCTCACCACCGCAGCCGCTGTTCCCGAATTGCTTGGGCAAACATGGTAGCCAGCGTTTGCGGGTGGGCTCGTGGTTTGCTGGGTAGCTGCCGTGGGGAAGCGATTCTTTCTTTTGCGTGTAGGTTGGTGTGGCCGGAGCTCTAAACACTTTGTTGCGGCCTTTTCTTTCTTTTTGCTTTGTTGTCGGCTCACACTGGGCCCTTAGCAACGGTGGATGATTGAATGCTGTCCTCATCGGTATGCATACGTGCTTATGTACAAAACCGTGCTTTAAGCACGGAGCTGTTTTGTTCGTAAGCGAGGGTTGTTGTTGGATGAAACTGCCATCAACTCGTTGCTGCGTCGCCTCATTTTCTTTCGTGTAACACATCCGGTTATCCTTAACTCACTGACTCCAGAGCTGTGGTCTGGTTTCCAGGGACGCAGTTTAACCAGGAGCGCGTTGGTTAATCGAGGGTCGTCTCGGTTCGCTTCCATGCACTGAGGAATGTGCAAGGAACAAGCGACCGATAAAGGAAGAGGTGACGCGGTGGAGTTTACCACGCGCCGAACTGCAGTGTTTGTCGACTCTCTACATACAATCACTCGGTCGGGCTTTCTATATAAGCTATGGCAGCTACTCCTGTCCTTATCTTGCTGCGACATCCATCATGAACCGAGCCGCTTTGGCCATGAAGCGCCATGTTATCACCATTGTCCGCGACAACTGCGATTGGTTTGTTGCAAGTTGCGCCCGGAACAGCAATGTATTGGGCTCGGCAATCCCAACGAAAGCGACACGCTTTTCCGTGCTCACAGAGTTCACTCACTGCCTTGGGCCTCGCGAGGTTAGCAGATGTTTCGGAGTTTCGAGGCTCGGGAGTGCTATGCGGAGGTCCACTGTGTTGATCGACGTAGTTCGGGTAGCGCGAAACGTGTCCCTGTCTGATGACATGCGAACGAAACGGAATTTCAGGACAAGATCAGAGGCTTGAAATGTTGTCATTTAATAAACTTGGAGGACGCTTCAACTTCACCTCCAAGCGTAGAACACAAAAACTTATCCAGGCCCCGTGAGCATTGCCTTGAACCATGCCGCTTCCGATGGAGGCGGAAATGTTGTAGACCCGTGTACTCAGATTTGGGTGCACGTTAAAGAACCCCAGGTGGTCGAAATTTCTGGAGCCCTCCACTACGGCGTCTCTCATAATCATATGGTGGTTTTGGGACGTTAAACCCCACATATGAAATCAACCATGCCGCAAGGAAAAAAAAAACTAAATCTTTCCTGGATATCTACCGTATGTAATTGCCGGATAGGCTTAAACCACCCGCTCGTTCAATTGACATAAATTGACTCGTGTTGCTATTATACGATTCTGCCACTCAATGTATGATGTGTCAATGAGGCGCCTCCCACTACATGACATTCTTTTTTGGCTTTTTTTTGAAGAAGCGGCTTCAAGCACTGGTGTGGTTCCCTGGTAGAACGTTTGGTTGCTCGTGGGTCAAATAAGATTTATTAAGTACAAATTTGCATCCATCTCGAATTTTCGGCCATTGCCAACGCTGATTTTTCGCTCACAAGCACCGATACCGATGTTTCTGCAAGAGCGAGCTCTTTACAGCGCTGTTGCGTTAAAAAATCTGTCACTGTAAGTTTGTAACTAACGCGTCGACGAGGGGATTCACTTTAATCAGGGCTACAATAACTGGTTCTAGTGACGTTGCTTGGTAAATGATGGCTCATCGTTCGATGAGACGAACTTCACTCCGTGCCGCGCTTGTTTTGAGGTCGTGCTTGGGTGGGACATCTGCCCGAGCAAATGCCTCGACCGAGAAGTTTCTTTGCCCTGAGCAGTTGTCTGCCTCAGTGGACAATCGCTTGCACGGGGAGAAAAAAACAAACATCGCCCACGTGCTGTACTACGACGCACAACGTACCATTGTAGCGTACTATAGCTTACGGTTGGTCACTACAGCGTCTCAAAGGGAATGATTATAGTGATTATCGTGATGCCGGCAATTATTTCAAGCCTTGATCAGCCTGTAGCAGACAACACTCCTTGTCTTGGCTATCGTGGCTGCAGATTCAGTCCTTTGCCTCTGGAGTCACACACAAAGAAACAAAAAAAGGGGCAACGCTCCTCAGCTTTACCCTGTTACCTTGTCTTTTCCTTTTTTTTCTGCGTTTAATTTCTTTCATGTTTTGGGTGCCTGAGAAATCACCTGAGGGCACCCTAGCAAGGACCAATAATCTTACTATGAACTACCAAGCCGCCCGAAGCCTGCTTGAGATCAGCAAACCTAGCACCTCTAACGTAACCTGCATATGCCGGCAGGGGCGCTGCGGTGCATCATTTTTGTCTGTCGTGTCGATGCGGTGTACGTTATCACGCCTAACTAAGATTTCACAACCTCTTTGTCATCGGAGCAACGAAGTGCACACACCTGGTACTATCAATAGCAAAAAGTCTCCGCGGGACGTTGGATCCGCAACAAATGTGAATTTCTGCTATATCAGTGCTTAATGCTTGTAATCAATCTGGTGACTCTATAGGTCGGTAGGCCAAGTGCAGTACAGAACATTTATTTCGCAATTACATTGCCTGCCAAAGCGGGAATTTCGCTCTATTGAACATTTTGCGTCCCGCAAACTTTCGCTGTATTGCTAGCACGTAATGTCCCGTGCCGTTGTGAAGGCACTCGAAAGTGTCACGCGTGTTTCGGAGAATGGCCCAGGTACGGCATCGAGCCGTCGTTCTCGCGTTTTGCCCACTGCCGAAGTGTATTTCTGTTCTGTTCGCCGCATTTGGAGGACGACGCGTCGAAAGCGCCCTATCGCCGGGTTTTAACCCCCCTCCCCACCTCGGCGATGCAGAACGGCCGAGGGAGCAGGAAAGGCTTTCGGACCCCACTATGCGGAATATTCGCGACTGCATTACCATACCAATGGGATTGAAGCGCCCGCAGGACGAGAGAGCTTCACGCCATCTGGGGGTCGCCGGGAGCGAAAGGGACATCACAAAAGGAAGGGTTTTCCACGCGATAAATGTGTGGAAGACGTGCTGGCCCGATGGTGAGGTGTTGCCCCCTTTCTAAGCCCTGGGCGCGTGAAAAAAAAAAGGGGGAGGAGGGGGTTTCAATCAATACTTATGACTTTTTTTTGTGCGTCCTAATTTTATTTTTCTTTTTATGTCTCCTGTATCTCGTTTTGCAGCCCCCATTTTATCCTGCGTAGAGTCGTTTTGTTTGGATGTTGCGGGTGTGAAAAAGTGTTGAAAGTGGCCGCATTTGTGTGCGGCTTGCACGTACCGCCTTAGTTTACAGCATTGTCTATGGTGACTGCAAGTGTGTGTGTGTGTGTGTGTGTGTGTGTGTGTGTGTGTGTGTGTGTGTGTGTGTGTGTGTGTGTGTGTGTGTGTGTGTGTGTGTGTGTGTGTGTGTGTGTGTGTGTGTGTGTGTGTGTTCCTTCAGGTGCGCTGAAAGCATCTCGAGTGGAAGTGCGGTCGATGATCGTTACTGTTTTGCCAATAATGTGATTATGTGAATTGCGATAACTACGTTTCACACTGGGATGCCTCGTGTTTATTAGCGCAATGAAAGTAGGTCGTTGCTAGACAGGTGTGTCGTGGTGATCACTGAGTCATTTCGCTTCGATAAATCAATATGCATAGATCCAGGGAGCGTGTTGTCACGGTGTACAGTGTTTATCGCAGCCGGCACTGTAGCTTGTTGGCAGAATAACCGCTATTATTCTAGAATAGCATGCTGGATCCTGAAAAGAAGGGCAACATTGGGAGGCAGAAAGTTAGGTGGGCAGATGAGATTTAAGAAGTTTTCGGGCATAACGTGACAGCAGCAAGCACAGGACCGGACTGATAGGCGAAACATGGGAGAGGCCTTTGTCCTGCTGTGGGCGTAGTAAAGCTGATTGCGATGATGTACTAACAAGCCCTCGTGGCACATCTACTCGTGACTTATTGTGCTTACTTTGCCCTTCTTTTACCTTTGTGCAGAGCGCAAGCTGTTCATCGGCATGCTGGCCAAGGAGTGCAACGAAAATGACGTTCGAGTGATGTTCGCGCCCTTCGGCACCATCGAGGAGTGCACTGTTCTGAGGGACGGCAACGGACAGAGCAAAGGTGTGCTATCTCACCACCTCCCTATCAACCGTATCGTTGCTTGTCTGCCCCGAGTTTACGGTATCGTTGGTGGTACGGCCCCATTGCGGCTGTGAAGTGGCAGCAGCAAGCACAGCACCGAGTTGACTGGTTGAGCACAAGATAGGCCATTGTCCTGCTGGTGGGCGTAGGCAGCTGCTGCTGCCGCTCATGATGATGATGGGCCCCGTATTGATATGTTACCACAGAGTGTGAAGAGCAGGCGTCAACTCACCGATACCTGTTAGGGACAAAAGACAACAGAAGAAACGCTATTGAAAGCCACGAAAACTGGCAAACATTAGAAAATCCTCGGAATTCCGTAACTTAGTACGAAGCGCGTACTAACGACATCTGTTGGGGGACATCGAGTTTGGGCTACCGTTTCTAATGAGACAGTGACGTACACTCTAGAAGAAAAAGAAAACCGTTTGCCCCTTTGTTTTTTTCCGCGCATATAAATCACATACGTAACGCATGAATAATTTACCAGAACCTTTAAGGTATTAAGATTAAGGGTACTACCCTGAACCTCTGGGACATGATTTAGGACATACCTCGGTGCCTCCTGCTTAATTTAATATGTCGTAGTGTTGGTAACGTTTTACCGTTTAATATATAGAAACTGTAGATTAGTGCTTGGCTAACGTGGGCTGTATGCCGTTAGAACATAAGCATTTGTTCTAAGTAAATTTCAAATCTAATCACTAGTAGACACATTTTGAGTGCTTGCAAGCCGCACCACGAACCGCAATATACAGTGGAACGTGATACGCCTGAGGTGTTGCTTCCACTACTGTCGAACGCAGTGGCATAGTTTTGACTGGCGTGTTTATTTTCGTGTGTTTTTTCTATCTCTCCTTTCATTTTCACTCCTGAATCCACTTCCCCCAGTGTAGGATAGCAAACTGGACACTCGTCTGGTTAACCTTTCTGTCTTTCCTTCCTCTACTTTCTCCTTCTCCTTCAAATTCAATGGTACCTTGGCATCTTACGTTGGTGTCAACCTGCGTTTGTTCTGGCTGGCTTAATTTTTTTCAAATCGCGTTGATCTTGGGTCATAGCGGTTGCGCTGCCGCTACGAGTAGGCTGTTTTTCAGCGCGTAAATCATGAGGCAGTTTAGACTCTAATTTGAAACAGAACGAAAATCTGTACGTTCTCGATGCGTCAACTTCATGTCAAAAAGACTTGCTGTTGAGAAAAGGCTGGTGCTCTGATAATCCTCTAAAAGGCCATTACGGTCAATTACCAAGGGCGCGTCATCGCGATGTTTTAGTTATTATGGATCCGAGTTCGATGGCCCTAGTGCACGTATGTATTCACGTATAACATACCGCGTTTTTTTTTCTCTTTATTCTTATGTTTTCATTGCAAAGTATTCGCAAACTCTGCGAGAGTCTTACAGCAAAGGGGGGGAGTTCCTTTTTGTCAGGATGGAGCAGGCCGTGATAACGGGTGCTGTCCCGAAACGACTTCAGAAGAGGAGAGGGGGAGGAGACGTGAAAGGGTTTTGGGGGAAGCCGGGTCAAGGTTTTCTTTTGTTTTCGGGTGGAGAGAAGGGCGAGAGGCTAAGAGGATGGGGTGTGAGAGGGCGCAGAACCGCCACCACCCACCCGGCTGAGATGATTGATGAGGCATCATTGATTGAGGACCTGCGATCGAACCTGCGACTGCCGAGTTTTAATTAATGACTGGTCGATCGCGCGTGGCGACCGTATAGGGAAGAGGGAGAGGGTACTACATTCGATAGGAAGGAGGAGGGTTGCCTTTCGAAGCGCGGCAGTGTATAGTCGCCTGATTGATGGATCCCCCACCCCCTCTGGTTCTGCTGTCGCGCTCCTCAAAGAGCGGAAAATCTGGACAACACCCTTAGTCTAGTGCCGTGTTTGTGTATGTATAATGCGCGCTTTGTTGTGAAGTGGTGTTCCGTATAACAACTAACGGTGTTGAGTGGCGCACGGAAGAGAGGAAGGGCTGTCGAGATAGCTGGATTGGTTCCCTATTGTTCGCCGAAATTTGGTGGTCATTCTTTCATTTTTCCCCTAGTATCCCCTGGACGGTTTAGTTATTTTATGTGTGTGTGTGTTGAGGAGTGAAATCGGTGTTTCGCTATTGTATGTTCGCCCCCTCTCCCTTCTTTTGAGGCGTAAATAAAACAAGGATTTTATGTGGGAAGGCATAATGGTACTATAAAGGCAAAAAAAGAAAGGGGGGGGGGGAGTTTGTGATGGAGGATATTCGGGTCTATGTGGGCGACTTCGCCGAGAGCGCAAGCTGTCGCTTATCCGAGTTTTCATTTTCGACCGTTATTTGACTCCTTAGTAATTTTTAGCGACGGGTGGGGGAGGCAGTATTTAACTTTTCATTCTTATTTTTCGGGATTCGAGGAACGTTATCCGCGCGTCGGCCATGCACAATGAGGGGGCGACAAGTAAAAAAAAAGGGGAAATGTGGACACGGTTTGAATAAGCGGGAAATAGGGGAAAAAGAACGGGCGTGGTAGAGAATTCGTTGTTCCTTTTTTATTCCTTTTGTTCTCTTTCGAGGACTCCGTCGTGTGTGCATGCGTGCATTTTTGGTGCGTGGGACGACAGTGTGCGTGTATTAGGGAACCCGTCTCCCCCCACTTCTGACAAAAATAGGGAGAGATTCGGTTTCTCGCGTGTTTTCTCCCCCCCCACACTTCGGACAAAAATAGGGAGAGATTCGGTTTCTCGCGTGTTTTTTGTGCTAGCTGGCTTTTTGAGTGCAGCAAAAACGGGTAGACTTGGTGCAGTGGCCTACAACCTGATATAGCGAACTGCCGGTAACACCGCTCCTGTGTGTGGTTTTAGAGGCGAAGCATTTCTTGGCGAACTTCGGCGACTTCTGCCATATCTATCTGTCTGTCTGTCTGTCTGTCTGTCTGTCTGTCTGTCTGTCTGTCTGTCTGTCTGTAGCCGCCTACGACATTTAGCTCTCCTGGCCGTTTCGATAAACGTATCTATACCAAGATAGGTATGGTATACCGTGACTGTATGACGAGCGTAAGCAACTAGTAAAAACACGTTAATCGTGACATGTATGTCATGAATGTCATGGTCTTGCTGCTCTTGCGGTGGTTTCGTTCACACATATATCAAAACCGGTATGGTATGACATCACTGCACCTCGAACGTAAGTGGCAGACTCTAACGTGAAAATCATGACATGCATGTCTTGTAACTCATGACTATAGGCCGCGCTCGCGGTGGTTTCGCTTGCTTCATATTTAAGAAATTTGGTATTACGTTACGTGAATGAACAATGAACACAAATGCCGGGCGTAAACATGATAGTCATGCATGGCATAATTTACGTTCGCCTCGTAACGTTGCGCAGATTTTAAAGCGATATATCGAACTTGTCCTTCATTCGTGCTTCGCGTATCATCCATTCCCACTGTACTAGGATCTGCTTTTTTTTTTTCATCGCCGCTGCAGGGAATGGTATTTCGGTTTCCGTGACAATCTCAGTTTATAGACTTTTTAAAACCTGAACAACAGTTGTTTCACGTTGCCGTTTCGTTATAGGGGACGTTAAGATGACGACAGTGGGAAGGGGCGCCCTCGTTGATATCTTATATCGCTGTTTTTCACATTTCGCAAGAAGCGAATGCGTACTGATAATGATATAGCAAAGTATGACGATGTGAATTTCACCGTCGTCAGCCTAATAATCAGCCTGACTACGCCTATACTGCAGGACAAACGCTTCCCTCTCACGTGTGTCTCCGGATAGCCCGATCCGGTGTTTGCTGTGGCCACATTATTTCCACAGACTGCCTAATAACTTCGGTCTACGTAAATATCTGCCTCCACGTAGTGCGTTCGCCTTCGCTTGGAGTCCACTATGTTACACCCTGCTGTTATCTCGCTTATCTCGGTTATTCCACGCTCCGCGTCGACACCGGCTTACTCTCTCCCGGGCCCCGGTAGAAGCTATGCCTTTCCCATCCGTGGTGTGCCTTTCGCATGGCGGACACCATAGAGCTGCCACCGCAGCGGCTATAAGAAGAGGCATAGGCCAAGGGGCGCGGTTGGGGCTACTTTAGGTGTTCCTAGAGGCCTCACTCCCAACAATACGCCAACGCCACCGCCACTACAGGCTCTGATAACTGTAATGCTATATACATACCCTCATAAGTTCAATAATGACGGAAATGACGGAAAACCCCGGGTGGACGAAATTTCCGGAGCCCTCCACTACGGCGTCTCTCATAATCAAATGGTGGTTTTGGGACGTAAAACCCCACAAATCAATCAATCAATCAATAATGACGGAAAGCTTCGTGCGTGGCGTCGAAAATTTTCAGAATGCATTTTGTTGTATTTTCCGGGACGTTGGCTTGATCAATTTTTTTTTAAACTTGGTATGCTATAGGTCTGTGGCACCGACAGACGAGAATGTACTTCATTTTCATTGATTAGAAGCTACGTAGTACGCAGTAGATGCCGTCAAAATCTATACCGTCTTGTGTGGGGCTCTCAAAATGGCGTCTGCGCCCGCATTTTTTTCTCATTTTTTGCTGGTTTTCTCGCTTATCAAGCGTCGCGTCGCGTTAAGAGCGGTGTTTTGGGGATCGTGAAATATTACTTTACTAATACGGGCGAAACATTGTTTTTGCCTTTTATTGTCCCTCTAAAACCACGTAGGCAAAGTGCGGGTTTGGAGGGGGGGGGGGGGGGGTTTCCTGACGGTGTTATCATTACAATCGACTGCGAAGAGAAAGAAAACGGCTTCTGCCTTCAAGTCGTCTTGGGCGAATACACAAAAGACAGTGTAAGGGAAAAAAAAGAAGAAACGGTCTCTTTTTCGAACAATACTTAGCCGGAATTAATGAACTCTGCCGTTCAATTAGGAGTTTTGTGATTCCGAAATGTTCTCCTAGTGTGGGGCCGTTTTTTTTTTTTGGCGGGGGGGGGGGGGGGTGCGTTTCTTTTATCGCAAGGAGAAAAAAAAT